ATTGTTTTCATCCAAAAATGGTCTCAGACGATATAATTTACTTGCCTTTGAGATCTCCTTTCCTTTTTTCAATTGCATTATTTCGCTTAGAAATGATCGACCTTGAACCAACTTAACTAAACATAACCTCGCTGCGTTTCTTTCTATCGCACTTACAAAGCCATTTCGCTTAGAAGTATGAAATATATTTTTCTTTTTGTAAAAATTATCTAATGCGTTATTTTTAAATCTTAAACAATAAGCCACAACGCGCAATAATTTGTTGAACGAGGAGAACTTTGATAGTAACTGAAACTCTTCGTCGGTGGAACACACAGCACTTATAGAAGATTTAAATTCCGGCATTTCTTCTAATTTACTGCCAATCTCTTCTTTTGGTGTATTTGGCCATTGCTTTTCATTTAACAAAAGCCAACTAGGCCCGTGCCACCACAATGACATGGTGTTCAACTCAGATACGCGACATCCACGCGATATTATGTCGGCTGGATTACCTTTGCCGTTAACGTGATACCAGTCTGACGGAGCGGTCAATTCTTGTATTTCACCGACACGGTGTGCTATAAACGTTTTCCATTGACGCGAAAGGGACGATATCCAAGACAATACAACCTTTGAATCAGACCAGTAAAATTTTTTATTTATAGGTAATAATAACTTAGGAATAATTTTGTCACCTAAACGCGCAAGTAATACGGCAGCACACAATTCTAATCTCGGTAGAGATAATTCTTTTAAAGGAGCTACTTTACTTTTAGCGCTGATTAAATTACTATAATTATTACCATATTCGTCGGAACACCTTAGATATAGACAACAACCATAAGCATTTATACTAGCATCGGCAAAACCATGCACTTCAATGTTTATCATTCTATTTTTCATTGTAATTTGTCGTGGTATTTTTAAATCATTTAACGCGTTCAAATCAGTTTTATAGTTTAACCATTCTTTACGGATTACATCACTTACTGGCTCATTCCATGTAATACGTTCCTTCCATAGACTTTGTAATATTAATTTAGCCTTTATAATTACTGGTCCGATCAGCCCTAACGGGTCATAAATTCGAGCAATTTCCGATAAAATATTACGCTTGGAGAGAATCTCGGCAGTTAAACTTTTATTTATCTCGATTTTGTACTGTAACATATCTTTATGCGAGTCCCAGCACAAACCTAGTATTTTTGTTATCGAATTATTTATATCAGGTAATTGGGTCAAATTCTCTTCAATGCCATTCACACTATTAATCAACAACGATTCATTCGACGGCCATTTACCTAATTCAAGACCGGCTGCTGATAGTATTTCGATAAGATCGTCACGTAATTCAGCAGTTGCCGCCTGCGATACGTCACCACTCAAAAAATCATCCATATAAAAATCGCGACTTATAGCGGCGGCCGCACTGGGAAACCTGTTTTGTTCAGTTATCGACAATATCTTTAAGCAACCAGTGGCAATATACGAAGCAGGTACCGTTCCATAAGAAAGAATATTTAAACGGTATACGCTTATCGGTTCATTTTCTTCTTCTCTCCATAGAATACGCTGATAATCCCGATGTTTATTTACGACTAATATTTGTCGGTACATTTTTTTTATATCGGCGGTTAAAACATAATTATGAGTTCTAAATCGCGTTAATATATAAATTAAGTCTTCCTGAACCGTTGGCCCTTTTAACAAAGTGTCATTTAAACTAATTCCACTTTCGGTTTTTGTTGAAGCGTCAAATACTACACGTAATTTGGTAGTAATACTATTTTCATTATATACACCATGATGTGGTAAATAGCAAATTTTTCCCNGTACACCATGATGTGGTAAATAACAAATTTTTCCCGGTATATCTGTTGATTTGAACACTACCCTTTCCATGTGATTCAAATTCTCGTACTCTCTCATAAATTTGACATATCTTCGTTTTAGTCCTGGATCCCTACGAAATCTTTTTTCCATGGACAGTAATCTTCTTTTTGCAATTTCATAAGATTCACCCAACTGGTTTACATTTTCCTTGAACGGCAGGTGTACAATAAAACGTCCCGTGACATCTCTAATTACCGTTTTTTCAAATATTTTTTTACATGCCTTTTCTTCAGCCGTGTATGGAACCACAAGATTACATTCTTCGATGTGCCAAAACTGCTGTATTAAATTTTCTAAAACTCCAACATTTATTGAATCCTCTACAGAAACAACACATGATGTCGATTTATTAGGCATGCTAGTACTAGGTATGGCACCCGATACAACAAAACTAAACTCAGTTTCTTGGTAAATAAGTCCCTTATCTGCAATTTTAAACTGTTGTTTACCGATTAAATTGAAAAAATGGCTAGCTCCTATTAAAATATCAACTGGTTGCGGCACTTTATATAATGGGTCCGCTAAGGTAACTCCAGCGGGTGTGTTTTTATCATCTCCGATTTTCTTCATAGGCAAATCCCCCGTTATCTTTGGCACCACCAATAATCGAGTGAATAGTTGAAAGTCACTATTACGCGATTTTATTTTTAATTCAACCGTTGACGAAATACTTTGGGTCGTTTGCCCTATACCACAAACCATATGATTAATTTTTTGTCTTTTTAACCGTAAACTATTAGCTAACTCTACCGTAATAAAGTTATTCATTGATGCTGAGTCAAGGAGCACCCTTGCTACGGACGTTTGGCTAATGGAATTGCTGACTTGTACTAATGCTGTCGCTAATAAAACTTGATCTAATGTATTAGATACATGTGCGGTGGTCGAAATAGTAGTTGCTGTCTCACTTGAATTATTTTCTGTTTGGATTTCAGGCCGATTGGATACTACACTTTTATTTAAATGCAACAACGTAAATTGGGGATTATTACACTTCAGACAATATCTATCAAAACATTTTATTTTATCGTGTTTTCGTAAACAAATTTTACACAGGCCTATTGTGTTCACTTTAGATATGCGCTCGGCTACCGATAACGCAGTAAACGATGGACACTTATATATTGTATGCCGCTGATTACAAACATAACATTTAATCGCGGTAGTTATCAGAGTATTTGACTGAGTCATTAATTTACGATGATTGTTCGCATGTTTTATAAAACTACTTTTCCGGTCAACAATTGATAAATAATTATTACTGCATTGCGAAGATTCTATGGATTCCATTATCTGAAAACGTTCGCCTAAAAATGTTGTTAATTCCTTAACAGTTGGTACTTTATCCTTGGATGATTTTATCTCCCACGACTTCAGCGTTTCTCGATCCAGCTTTGAACACACTATGTGCAACAGTAAAGGGCCCCAATCTCCTGGGTTTTCGCCTAAAGTTTCTAAACCTTTCATATTACCATTGACATCGTCTATTAACATACGTAATCTTCTGGCAGAACTATCTTGTAACGGTTCTAACTCGACAATATTTCGGACGTGTCCTTGAACTAACACATTTTTATTATTATAACGTTCAATTAATGTAGTCCAAGCGGCCTCATAGTTTGCATCCGTTGTTTCAATGCATCTAATACTACTAGCTGCTTCTCCATTTAATGATGACTTTAAATAAAAGAATTTTTGAACTGGCGTTATCTCCGCATTAAAATGTACTAGGCGTTGAAACATATCAAAAAAGGCTGACCAATCTTCATATTTGCCACTAAAAGTTGGTATATTTAATGCAGCTAAATTAATTGTCGATTGCGTCGAAGTAGTTCCTGTATTTTGCGCTGTTTGTACAAGACCTTGCTGAATTATAGGGTTTAATACTTTCTCTGCCTCCGCTACTGCTTTAAAATAAGTATCCTCAAACTCTATCCGATATGGAAAATTCTCATTATTATTTTTTACTTCAACTGCCTCGTCTTCCATGGCAGACTGGACCTGTTGAAATTCATTCCACGTATCTTCTAACTTTTCTCTACGTATCCTAAGTTGATATTAATCGACAGCTTCCCCATGTATAAAAGTCACAAATCGCGTTAAAGTAGCTTTTAATTGACCTCTTCTTACTGTAAGTGGCGCTGAATCATTTGTAGGGGCCATTATAGAGAAACGAAGCAAATCGATGATTACCCCCTGACCTTACTTACCTACTACTTTTATCGCTACTATACATATACCGATAATAAATTTACTATTCCGACTGTTTATCAGTGCGGTCTAACATACTACTAATAATAAATACTATTATATATAATAATAAATACTATTGCAATTTCCCCTGATTTTTCTCTTTTTTTTTTACAACAAACGCTATTATTAAATAACCAAACAAAAGCGTACTTAACGAATAGGGAATTCTTTTTTTTTTTGTAATATATAACGATACTTAGGAAAATAATGTAATTCTGTTACCTTGACAATATTTTCTCTCTTCTAGCAGTTTTTTCTCGAAAGAAAATGTTCGAAATGGACGGGTTGGTCACCTAATTATCCAAACTTGATACTTGACGAATACGAATTATCCCGTCTACGACTCCCTCACTATAATATTACGATTATAATAACACTTATTTGTCAAATATACACGATATTACACGATGTACTAAAATNTAAATATACACGAATAGTAACCACGATATTACACGATGTACTAAAATATTATTTAGTACCACGAAAATATGATATAATCGTATTTAAGACGCACTTTACATAAACTGATCCAGCCCGAAGGACCAAATGTTACGACTGTGGACTGTATTTTAATTATTACGAGAATAATATTACTTAGGTCGCTTAACTATGAATTAATAAAACGAACTTTTCTATATGTGAATAGTGAGGCATTTATTAGGAGACTGGTTTTTCTCCGCTGAGTAAAACCGATCGTCCGCTCATCACAATGATAATAATAATAAAAAAAATCATAATAATACTCATACAATAGAGCACGCCGCAACAGGGAGGAACAACTGTTGTTCGGAGGACCTAATTACCCTACTTTGTGGTTGCCTTTATGTTAGTCTTAGTTAGATTCATTATTAATTAATTAATGAATGTATTACTGAAGGCGATGTGACGATATCATCCTTTGAGTAGATAATAATTGAAGGTGCAGTTACTTTTGTAATATTATATTCGGGAACAATTGAAGAATTGTAATGTTTTAAATTACCATATGGCCCATAATCGTATTTTTGAAATCGACCTAATAATAAAGTCAAATATTATTATTATTAATGTTTTTGGAATTTGTTGGCCTATTTAAAGACTATTATTTATAAAATTTAATAAATTTATTTAACAACTATTGAACTTGAATTATATGGCTAACCCTGTTTCAATTTGAATAACGTAAAATAAAATGGAACATTAACAATATCGGTTATCTTTTTTAAAATTACTAACAGTTTAACTATTCTCAAACACGTACTATGAAGGGAAAAGAAGTTATGGGGCTAGAGCATTGAGATTTAAGGGTTTAAAATTATTTATTACAAAATACCATGTACTATAAAACTAGCGTAATCGTGGGTAGATAAAGTTGTTATACTCCACATTTTCAAAATAATTATATAGTGAAAATACATTTTTTTCGTTTAGAGAGGTAAATAAAAAATTTTCTTATGTATATCCCCCTCCAGACGAAACCCTAATTACGCCACTGAAATATAAAGTTTTAATTATACCTACGTTACAGGAACTACATCTAATTTTGAAAACTGCCTCTGTCAATATTTTAATCAAAGTTTGATTATATTATAGAATATTTTGATATACCTGATATCACTGATTGAAACACGTGAACAACATATTTTGAAGAAACTGGTTGGGGATAAGTTCTCACAAAATCGGCAATAACATTCTAGTATAACACAAGTATGATTTTAGTTCATTGTAACAAGTAATAATATTGATTTATAATATAAAAATTATCATTATTGTAATAAGGAATATGAGTATAGAAGTATCAAATAAAAATACTCAATTTTTAATTGATTTATCCATAGCCATGAACATGTTTATGGATACGATTCTACACATGCCGCATTTGTAGAATTTCACATCAGTTATGCTAAAATAAACTAACTTTATTTTATGTAGGATATGAGGAAACTTATTAATTTGTGTATTTGATAATAATAAAAACTATTACTATTATTTCTAAAAACCTAGTGTTTAACCTTTTGTAATCTTAGGCATCTTAGGTGCAACTAGAATAACAGTTTTGAGGTTACTAATTATATTTTTCCCCTATTTCAGAAATTACTTGAATATATCAATATTTTTATGAATTAAAAAAAAATTCTAGGTGCTGTTTCGTCAACAGGGATTAAACAGGGGTTAAGCCTCCCCTAACCGACCAGTAGTGACTATGATAATTATATTACTATAAAAATCTGGTTAGTTCTTTAGATTTACGGGGACCAGTGCAAAAATATTTGTGATTATAATCTATGATATTTTTTTACAAGTGCGAAATACTAATTAATTAATTAAATAGAGCATGTCGTATTTTTTTTAATTAAAAAAATACTAGGCCCAGGAATTGACTTTAATGTTCTCTTTAAGTGTGGCCCTAATGTAAATATAAATTAATTAATAGCTATGTATTAATCTAAATTTAATACTGATATATAAAATATAATATTAAATATTTAAATTTCTTACATAATCTAAAGACACATTAATTCCTTGATAAAAATTCATAATAGCTACACAACTATAGCGAAAAAAAGGATTTTTACATAACTTTCCTAAAAAATAATTATCTGTATCTTGAGCGAAAATAATATATTTGTACCTCTTTAGATATTGCTAAAACAAACATAATGTAATTATATAAAAATTTTTGATGAAATAGTTTTATTTTAATTAAAAATTTCTATTTAGTATTATAATAATATTTTCACTGTAATTATAATTTTGCATAAGTTAAATATTATTAACATATTTAAATTTTTTGTAAAATTCTTAAATCGTAATAAAATGTAGTTAAAAAAATTAAAAATCTATATATCTGTTTTTGGTATAAATATTTCAAATATTGATAGAATAATAAATAGTATAAATATTATAATAATAGTATAAAATATTGATTAGTATAATAAAACTAGACGTATAAACAGTTTATGGTTTTATGGTTTTAACAAAAATACATAATACAAGTAATTAAAAAAAACCCAGCACAGGGGGGTCGCGGCACAGTGATGACCAGGTATAGTTGGATCGAGTATAATGATATCTGACAGCGATTAAAATCACTATCAAAAAAAACGCTTCGATGCAAATCTTTAGATAGTGTTTAATTTTAAAAAATTGGTTGATTATTCCAAGATCACATGATCTTGGAATAATGATCTGCTACATGATCTGCTAGTTCCTTATTAATAAAATGATTAAGATAAAGTATGTCGAATTAAAAAGGGATTATTAAAAAATATTATTTTTCATAAAAAAATTATGTTGATCCATAAACTTTTCAATAAATTATATCATTATAAAGTTAAAAATGTAAAAAATAAAATCGAGAATTTTCACACAATAATAGCATTTATATAATCATTTTGAAAATCTGTGTACATCCCTTTTAAGGTATATAAAAATAAAATAAAATACAAAACCCAGATTTAAAACACAATATTAGCATATTTTTGAATACAGTGACTATTTTAACCGTGAAGACAAAATAAAGTCCAAAATTTTTATTTTGCATAATAAAGTACATTACATTAGCTTCAATTTAAGATATATATAAAAGTGTCAGACTTTCCGGAACATTTTTAAAAGTCAAGTTGAAAAATTAATTTTTTGTGAAAAATATATAAAATTATATAAAAAATATAATATCAGATATAAAAAAAAATATACCAAATGAAAGGTAATGATATCATGCATCTATATAAAAATTATATTATTTAGTTATTTTTAAAAAAGTTATAGCAATTTTAAGTAATAAAAATTCGAAAATTAGCGATTTTTAAATTTTAAATTTTTTTGGTGGTTTCCTCCATTTACGGGGAACAGGTGAATATTTTTCAATTTTTGAGGGTAATGTCTTCGATTAGATACTATTTGTGATCTTTTGACGTATCATTGAAAGAAATCGGTTCGGTGAGAGCTGAGAAAAAGTGGTAACAGACACAAAAAAAAAAAACTCATCTTAGTAAAGCCAATACCTTCTCAGCTTCGCATCGAAGCTAAAAACCCAATACAGTGCGGTCTTGGCACAGTGGACTAGGGTCATAGAAGGGGAAGCGGTATAGTTAGAACAATTATAGAATATATCTGACAGTGATTAACATGACAATCACAATAAAACAATTCCATGTGAATCCCTTAAATTTTATATTGAATGTAGTCCATGATTTATTTATTTATATAACATGAATGGGAAAACATTTCTTTTTATAAATATTATTCATGACAATTAACACTACAAAAAAAAAAATTACAAATTATTAAATAATATCACTATTGATAAATAATATCCATAATAAATAAACTGTACATAAGAAAAAACCAAAACAAAATGAAATAAGTACAAAAATTTAAAATTAATAGTAAATGTATGGGTTGGTAAAATATTATTTTAAAATTCATCAAAATAGCGAACTGTAGTATAAATTTTTGTATCATCAGTAAATAATAAAATCTTAGTGTCATTGTCAAAGGAAAGAAGGCAAATTATTTATAAAAATAAGAAACAATAACGAACGCAAATGAGAGCCTTGAGGTACACCTAAAAAAACAATAAATTCTTCGAAATATATTTGATAACTTGTTGCGTGCGATCATAAATATGAGATTCAATCCACTTTAAAAATTTACCATGAATACCATAACTTATGCCATTTAACTAACAAAAGTCTATGATAAACTTTTTCAAATGCTTTTTTAAAGTCAACGTATGTGCAATCAATTTATTGGCCCTTATTAATACCATTTAAAATATCGGTGTGAAATATAAGATTATATGAACTATTGAATGTGTTTGATAGAAATCTATATTGATAGTTAAAAAATTGTTTTTCATTAAAGCAGAAAATATATTAGTAATTAAGGCGTCAACAATTTTGGGTATAATTGACATCTTTGAAATAGAGCTTATAATTACAAACATTAGAATTATTACCTGTTTTATGTAATGAAATAAAATAAGACATTTTCCAAAAAGTAGGAAACAATGATCAATTAAATGAATACAATAAAGGTTTAACTAGAACATAGCATAGTTTTTTAGGAAAATAGAGGGAATGTAGTCAGGACCAACTCCACAGTATATATTTAAATTTTCTTTTAATGCTTTATAAGCCCATTAATTGCCATAGCGTCCTTCTCCAAAGGATTTAACCATTGATACACCGGGTCGGGTAGTTAGTTCTTCGCCCAAAAGAGGGATGGCGACACCATTTACCGAATTGTACTCTTGCTCAACAAATGAAGCCGCCCATGACCGTGTTTCGAACCAGAGACAGAGCGCGTCAAACACTGTTGCATTACCGACTCGGTCATACCGTCTCTCTTGGAAGTGAATTCAATATACGCAACAAATAAAGTAGTAACTCATTTTTTCTCACTTTTCGGGATATCGAAAATTACTCTGTGATCATTACTATATGTTTATCAATTTTCTTATTAGTTTAATTCCGATTCAATTCAAATTTGTCAATATTTTAATGAAAGTCATTACAAGAAGACTAAAACCTAAATTCAAATATTTTATTTGTATTTGTCTCCATTGTGCCGCGACCCCACTGTACTGATTCACGTTTTTAAAGTTGAGTTTAAGTGTTATTTTTAAAAAAAGCTGAATTTAATCAAATAATTTTATAAGAAAGTAAAGAATATTATCTTTGCGCATTATGAGTAAATATAAAACGAAAAAATTGCTGTGATATAAGAAACACAACAATATCTTGAAAATTCGCTACAAATACTAGAATTTTTATTAATGTAGTACTTATTGTCTTATATATAACTTATTATCTAAAGAATCAGTGTTTTTTAGAAAAATGTATTATTACTTTTTTATTAATTACAATAGCCCATTTTCTTTTTAGAATTAATTTATTTTATATATTCTATAATATTTTTTTTTATATCTAGATAATAATTACTTGGAATAATAATTCTAAATATTTTTGAATTTCATAAATTAATTCAGTTATTACTACTACTAGTAGTCTTTTAATTTAAAAAGATCTATTTTCGCAAATTCATGTTTGGCTCAATTGCAAAGTATTAAAATTACAAGTAATAAAATTTCACTTACTATTACAGGATAATTAATTATCAATCTTCGATATGGCTTTATACTTAACATGTGTCCATTTCTTGCAGCTGGTGCTATCATTAAAATTTTTCGAATTTTAGCGTTGTATTCGGGTCTTTCTGATAAACCTATAAGTGTTATTCCTGCTCCCATAGAAACTCCCACAACGTCTACCTTCGAAAAGTTTGTATGTTTTAAGACAAAATCAACAGTAGCTGGAAAATCGTAAATGCCAAGTTCATGAATACTGAAAAAATAGTTTTTTATTTCTTGAATCATTACTTGAGTAAAAATGTAAGTTAATTAAATTATTTTTATTTAAATCTCATTTACCTGTAGTTCCAGTTCATCTGAGATAGATGACGCATTTTATTAGATATGCCCATAGCTCTATAATTAGAGAGCCATACATCAAATCCAGCATCAGCTAAACTGAATGCTAGAAAAAAAAATTTTTGATATCATAATATAATATATGTTTATATATTATTTAATCATTACAGTTCAAACATTTGAGAGATTTGAACCATTATTTTGCAAGAAAAAAGTATTTTACTTATCTGTCAATTACAATTAAAATGAAAATTTAAAAATAATGATTTTCTTGTGAGGTACTAAAATGTTATATATATTCTTTTACAAAAAAATAAAACTTAATGTATAATCATATTTACAATATAAGAAATTAGGTTCGAAGATTTTACAAGCTGAGCTATTTAGAAAATCTAAGTGAGTCGCTCTAAATTGAGACTGGTAAGAAATATGATACATTTAAATTATTCCATTTTAACTTTTAAAATTAAAATATATAAATTGTTTATAGGTTGAGGGTGTATAAATTTTTTATTGAAATATTTTCAATATGGATTTTTTTTTTTTAAATCAATGTAACATTAAGCTAATATACAATACGGTTTCTCATAAATGTTTATAGACTAAGAATTTGTCAAAGGAAGGGCTACTTATTTTTGTATCAATATTTGGTTTCATTGTCCGACTAATCAAGGTCGGTTAGGTTGGGAGATAACTTGATCATGGCGCTGCATTTTTTTGTATCCCATGTCTAACATAAATGATTATTAGCCCTATGCCTTGCAAATTAATAATCCTTGTCATCAGCGAAGGCGCAAGGGGTGTAGCTAATTTACATAAAATTGAATTGTTTCATGTAAAATACACTTGCATTGGTAGAGCTTGGGCCGGCGCACTGCCTGCTTTCAACGTACCATAAAATTTATATCTTTTATATTGTAAAATATATTTTTTAAATTACCCATTGAGATGTTAGTGATTACATAGGGAATTGAACTACTAAGTAAAGGGCACATGAGAATTACTGGCTTTCCAATAGTTCCATTAAATCGTTTTCCGTGGGGTATTCTTTCCATACCGAGTAAAGCTCCGTCTTCTGTTTGGAGTTGATAAACTTCTATAGGATATCCATAGGAAATTATTTTATCCGTCTAAATATAAAATAACATTTTATTTAAAAAATAAAAATCTAATTACTTATCTGTTATTTGAATATTTATACATTCAATTGTATACTCTAGACGTTTACAAACGTTTGAAAACAATGAACTTGTTTTCAAATAAAACTTTTTTTTTTTTTAAGAATGTGAATATGAGTAAAAAAAATATATTTAACCGTTTCTGATATTTTGAAATTTGCTATTAAATCATTAAATTTTATGGATGTTAAATTGCACTAAATTAATACTTTTATATGTATATATAATTCGGACACAGTTTAACACAATGTGAATAACGTATCCTTGTGTTGAAATACTCGAATGAATATTTTTTATATAATTTATAATAATAATAATTTTCTTGAAATTTTAAACTTACGGTTGTTAAAGACAAAACAAGATCTTCTATACATAAAAAGGTTAAAAATATTAATAAAAAACAACGAATTACTAACATTGCTACACTTAAGAATTTAATTATTATAATCTAAAAAATATTTAAGTGAAATATAATATTGTAACACAAAGATAGTTGTATTGATTTATAAAACTGTTTGTAGTTTTTTCATTGTCCACATAAAAAAAATAATTCAGAAAAATTCATAATTTTATTTTTAACTCTAATACTTGCATTTAATTTTGAAATTCATTAGCTTACTCAGCAACATTTAGACGCCTATTTTCTTTATGATCAAATAATATACAGTATATTATTTAAAAATCAATAATTATTATATGCAACATTTCTAATAGAGGCGGTCTTCTTAAAAATTTTTTCTAGAGAGGTGTAGAATACAAACTTGCAGGCTCATCTTATTGTAATCAATATTTTAGCTTCAAGCTGAAAATATATTGTTTATGCTATGTGATTTTTCTGTCTGTCACCCGGTCTTCGAAACTTTTATTAGTCTAATATTGCCAAATTAAATATCAAAAAATCCCGAATAGCTCTTTTTAAAGACATTACCCTAAAATTTGTTTAAAATATCTCAATTATTGCTTATTTTGAAATCGGGTAGAATTAACTTCTTTCTAACGAATTAATTTATACGAACTTAAGGATTGTAATATATCAGACAATGTCCATACTTTTTTAGAAAATAAAACTGATAACCTAAATAAAAAGGAGTTTAAATAATGCCATGTGATTCAACAATTTTTTTTTTTTCAATTTTTGAACAATATTCTTAAAAAGAGCTGAAAAGAAAATATAACTTAAAAAATGAACATTCAGTATGTTTTAATTTTAACAGAGGAATACCGATTTTAAAAATCGTAATTTGTTTTGTTATTTATTTACTAGGCTTCGCCTATCTGGGGCTCCGCCCCGGGCTGTAATCATAAGTAGACCACTGATTCCGGATGGAGTACCCGGCTACGCCGGTCACGATAAATGTTTTACAGAAAAAATATTACATCAGAATCAGTTTAACAAAAATATATTAAAAATTTAATTATTTAAATCAGGAAAATTCAAAAAAAGAAAATAGTAAAATGTATTGGGTATAAGGTTGACGTTTGTTACTGAGGTATTCACTTGGGGCGTATTTAGAAATCATTGTAGATGGGTATTTCATTTTTTTTACTTTGGTAAACATACTATAGAAATTTTTTTGGCTAAAAATCAAAGTGATGATCAAAATAAGGTTATCAGAACCATATTTCTTAGAAGTAGCATAAAAAATATTGATGGCGCTGATTCAAGGGGGGCAACCGCCCATATTACCCTTAAATACGTCCTTAGTATACACAATAATTATTGATATTCTAATTATACTAATTGTATTAAAAACTATAGAATAATTTCAAACAAAATCGGCCGGTTATTATATTCCTAGGACTATGTAAAACAGTCGATTTTGATAAGAATATTGATTACTATGATTTGACGTTAGACAGTATAGTTGTCATAAATGGATCCCAATTTTTACAATAAACCAATAGTTTTATACATCAAATATAAGATAAATAAGATAACAAAAAAAGATCAAAACGAAAAATGTACATTTGAACAAAAAGCTGATTATAAGCCCAAAGTATATGTTATAACAATGAACATGATTAAATAAAACAAAAAAAATTGTATTATGAACATATTTAAAAGAAACACTCTATAAATAAGCGCAAAAATGAGATAAACTCATTCAAATCATGCGCGTTGACTTAAAAAAAAAAAAGTTCGTAGATCGGTACAGAATGAATGGATTGAATTAATTTTTTTATGATATAATATGCTTAACACTATAACACTATTTTTTTTAAAAAAATTAAATCAAATTTAAAGTAATAAAAAATATGCTCTTTTCTAATCTATGATGTGACACTTATTATTTATTTAAAATAATAAATAAATTAAATAATTACTAGGCTCCACCTAGCCCCAGCTAGTTTGTTAATGGGGTTATCCCTTTAGGCGTATTCAAAAAATATTTTAGGAGGGTATATGATATTATTTTGCTTTGTTAAACATGCTATAAAATTTTTTTTGTTAAAAATCAAAGTGTTGATCTAAAAAAAGGACATTAGGTCCTTATTTCATAGAAGTTGTCTAAAAAAATATTGATAGCGCTGGTTCAAGGGGGCCTATATCTCTCTTAAATACACTCCTGGTAAACACAAATATTATTAATATTCTAATTATAAAAATAATTGTGTTTATATTACAGAATAATTACAAAAATACCCAGCACAGGGGGATCGCGGCACAGTGGTGACGTGGCATAGTTGGATCAATTATAATATCTGACAGTGATTAAAATCACAATAAAACACCCAGCACAGTGGGGACGCGACATAGTGGAGACGTTGCATAGTTGGGTCCAGTATAGATTTAATCTGACAGTGATTAAAATCACTATCATAAGAAACGCTCCGATGCAAATCTGTAGATAATGTTTAATTTTAAAAAATTGATGGATAATTACAAAAGCAACATTAATTTCTATTTCCTTAATTATACCCATTATATATTATATAATTTTTTAAATTAATTGTTTTCAAATTATTATTGATTTTGATTTTTAATATGTTAAAAGAAATCATGTAGAACCTACTTTTTTTTGTCCTTTACAGTGAAAGTTTTGGATCAAGTATTATGATATCTGACAGTGACTAAAATCACTATCAAAAAAAACGCTTCGATGCAAATCTTTAGATAGTGTTTAATTTTGAAAAATCTGTGGATTATTCCAAAAGCAAAATAATCTGCTAGTTTCTTAATAATATCCTGATTAAGATAAAGTATGTCGAATAAAAAAGGGATTATTAAAAAATATTATTTCTCATTAAAAAATTATGTTGATCCATACACTTTTCAATAAGTTATAGCATAATAAAGTTAAAAATGTAAAATACAAAATCGAAAATTTTCACACAAAAATAGCATTCGGTAGCCAATTTCACCCTGAAGACAAAATAAAATCCGAAATTTTTTTTTTGCATAATAAAGTAAATTACATTAGCTTTAATTTAAGATATATATAAAAGTGTCAGACTTTCCGAAACAATTTCAAAAGTTAATTTTTTGTGAAAAGTTGTCATTTTGAAACCCTGTGGGCTGGTAAAGGGTTAAATTTAAAAAATATATATACCATATGATAGATAAATATATCAATCAACTATAGAAAAAAAAATTATATTGATATGTTCATTTTTAAAAAAGTTACGGCAGTTTTTAGTAAAAAAAATTGAAAAAATGTTGAAAATTAGCGATTTTTAAATTTGTAATTTTTTTGGAGGTTTCCTTCATTTACGGGGAACGAGGGTTTTTTTTCAATTTTTGAGGGTAATGTCTTCGACTAGATACGATTTGTGATCTTTTGACGTATCATTGAAAGAAATATATTTTACAGTATAAAAGATATAAATTTATTGTATGTTGAAAACAGGCGCTCACGGCAGTGCGCCGGGCCAAGTTCCACCAATGCAATTGTAGTTTTCATTAAACATATCAGTTTTATGTAAATTAGCCCCACCCATTGTGCTTTTACTGATGACATGGGTTATTACTTTGCAAGACACAGGGCTAACAATGATTTATGTTATGGAACATATTTTCTTACTAAATTCAATTTAGAGTGGCTCACTTAGATTTTCTAGATGTCTCCGCATGTAAAATCTTTGAACCTAATTTTAGCTTTGATGCGAAGCTAGACTCGTGTATAAAGAAGAAAGATAAATACAAAGTAAGAATAGGTACTTGAAATTTTGGACCATTAACTGGTAGAAGTAGAGAATATGTAGAATTATTGAAAAGGATAAAAGTTAACATTTGTTGTGTACAGGAAACTGAGTGGAAAGGAGAGAAATCGAGGGAAATAGGTGAAGGTTATAAAAAAATATATACTCAGATAAGTCTAGTATAATTAATGGTATAAGAATAATGATGGATGAGGAATTGAAAAGTAAAGTAGTTGAAGTAGCCAGGAAAAGTGACTGAATGTAATAAATGCCTATGCACCACAAGAGGATGTGATAAAATAGACAAGGAAGTATTTGGTGAGAGATGGATGAGGTGATACAAGGGATACCTGGCAATGAGAATACGGTAATATGAATGGACATGTAGGTAATAAGAGGAGAGGATATGAAAGAGTACATGGAGGGTATAGTTTTAGTAGGAATAATAAGGCTGGAGAAAGAATCCTGGATTTCGCAGTATCGTATGATCTTGCTATAGTTAATACTTACTTTAGAAAGAGAGAAGAACATTATATAACATATAAGAGTGGGGGAATAGATCGCAGATCGATTATTTTTTGTGGAAGAAAGAGAGCGTAAAGCGATTAAAAGATTGCAAAGTTATACCAAGCGAGAGTGTAACTACACAATATAGATTGATTGTAATGGAGTTGTGGTGTACCGGAAAAAGAATAAACAAAAATAAAAAAAACACGGGGGAAAATCGAACATCTGGTGGTGGAAATTGATAGGAGGAAATGAAAAAGAGTTTGTAAAGACGGTAAAAGAGAAGACGGTGTGGAATGTCGAGGGAGACATAAATGATGTATGGAATATATTTGCTAGTTGTGTTAAGAATATTGTAAAGGAGATTGTTGATGAGAGTAAGAGTAGAATGCCAGGAACACAAGGAAACCTGGTGGTGGGATAAGGACGTTCAAAAAATCATAGAAAGTAAGAAAAAGCAATTTAAAGTATGGCAGAAGAGCAAAAGGAGAGAAGATTGGACGAAGTATAAACGCTTATGCAAAGAAGCCAAGTGTACAGTAAGTAAGGTGAAGTATGATGAAGAGTTTAAGAAGAGGTATGATGAGTTATATGATAGGCTAGGAACAAAGGAAGGCGAGAAAAAAATGTATAGATTAGCAAAAGTAAGAGAGAAAAGGTCTAAAGATTATCATTATATAAGGTGTATAAAATGTGTTGATAATAAGGTATTCTCGAGTGATGATGATGTGAAAAAAGTATTTTTAAAAATTACTAAATGAGGAGTACCCAAAAGATACGTTAGAGGATATCTCGTTGAATAAGAGACTGGTAGATTTAATAAGTGAGAAAGAGGTATGGGAGGCTGTGGCATCAATGAAAAAGAATAAAGTAATAGGACCCGATGAAGTGC